GGTGTACTAAGCCTCTGCAAGCCAAGTTTACTACCTCATTAATGGGTTCCATGTACTTGGTGGAAATCTTAATCTTCGCACACACAAAGGATTTATGTTGATTAGTATCTCTATCAAAACACAGGACATTTCCCCATAACCCACTAATTCTCTTCAGATTTGCACTATTCCATAAATTTAAAGGGATACCATAGTAGCTGATCCAGACACTCCTTTCCTGCTCCAGAACCACTCTAGATTTTCCTTCAAAGATATCCTCACACCAATCCATAATCAACTCCTTAATAGGCTGCAATTGCATCCCACAAAGATATGATGGTCCATGATGGAAATAACTCAAATTAAAAAATTTATGGTCATAACTAAAACAGAAACTCTATTAACCCATAAAATAAATTAGAAAATGATTCAAAAAATAGAAAGCATATATAAAATTGTTATTATGGGTCACGTCAATTTTGAATAGATTTATGATTCTTTTTTCTAAATTCCTAAAACTTCTTTAACTAGAAGTAGAAAAATCACCTAAATGGTGGACATCCTTCCATTCGGTTCTTGGTACATTTTCATTGCTTAGCTAAGACACAGATATTTATTGACTTTTCATGAAAAGAAAATGTATTTATAGTAAATTTGCCATTAAAAATTTAGGTTTATTTATTTATTTATTTACTTTTAGGTTAACTTCCATAAGTTGAAAAAATTATTACATAGGTCTACCCATATTCTATGTGGTCCCTTACAATTTTATTGATTACATACTAACTATTTTCTTCTTCTTCTTCTTCTTCTTCTTCTTCTTCTTCTTCTGCTTCTTATGTATTACATAAAATAATTAATAGAATTGAAATGACACACAACTTAATTGAAATTTCTAAAAGATAGGATAATTCTTGCATAAATTGAGCCTCTCTATTCACAACAATTCACTTTGATTGATCAACAAGAAAAGAAATAGCGAACTTGTGGTTGGAGAAACTGTTAGTAACCGTTACATGTTTTGATACACTTTGATTTCATAATTTTTTATGATGCAACAGTTACTAAATTTTAAAATCATTATTTTTATTTGACCATATAGTGACCATTAGATGCTGCGATCTTCTATCATAATTCATGAGATTGCATTTTGTTATGATTCTTCTAGGTGGCTTCTAGGTGATGTGATGGCGCAAATTATATGTATATAACTTATAGGACTCATTTATTTAGTTTTAAAAATAATATATATATATATATATAATACAAATAAAATTATATGTAGCTATACAAATAAAAAAATTCATATATAATGATGGTGTGGTTCATTTCACTTCAAAATAGCACACTATTAAAGATAAATTTATTTGTAATAATAATGTCATTGTCATATATTTTTATAAAATTTTATATGAATTTTATATGTAAATAGATTTTTCTTTTTAATTATTATTAAAGAATGTTTACCTTCTCCAATTACATTGGAATAGATTTTAAGTTATGACACAATCTCTTTGAAATTATAACCCAATTAAATCGAATCGCAAAACATTATCTCAAACTTAAGTGAATAGTGTCATAATTTAAACTTTGGTGTAGTTTATAAAGTTGTTTGTAATTTTTTATTTTATTTTGAAAGTTTGTAATAAAAGGTTGTCACAATTTCAATTCACAATTTATGAAGCAAAAATAATTTTAAAAATTAATTCTTAAGAAGTTAGTAGATGAATATTTTTAATTTTTACTTTTTTAGTAGGGTTGGTTATGTGTAGATACTAATAGGTGGACTAATTGTGCATTTATTGTCTAATAGGTTCTGTGATAATTAATGGCGTTTTTCACCATACACTATTAAAAGTATGTCACTAATTGTTAATTTTCAACAACAAATTTTATCACAAAAAATATCATTAATTATAAGTTTTAGTGACATTTTAAAAAAATCGTCACAAAAAAAATCACTAATTTTCAACTTTTGGCTATAGTTTAAAAATGTTGTCACAAAAAAAGTTACTAAATTGTAAGTTTTAGCAACAATTCATAATAATTGTGAAAAAAAGAGTCACTAATTGTCATTTTTTAGTGACATGCACTGCTAGAAAATCTACTTTTAGCGGCGTTTAAAAACGTCTCTAATTCTTTTTGTGACGTTTAGTACCAAACACCGATGACGCGGCCGTCGCTATAACTTTATGGCGTTTAAAAAATGTTGTTATATTAGTATAGGCATCGTTTTTAAAATGTCCTACCTAACTGTACTGTGACGTCACTCTGACATTTAGCGACGTTTTTGAAAACGCCGTCATAGACATTTATACATTGTAAAAATCTTGCCGTTGGGATGAGATATAGTGACGTTTTTTAAACGCCGCCATAGCCTTTTTTTTAATTTTTAGATTTTGTTAATTTTATATGGTTGAACAAAAAAAAAATACCTGTCAAACAATTATTAAGAACTAATAATTAATGTTTATTAAAATAATAAATAAACTAAGCTTGTAAACAAAATTAAAAATAAAAAACAATGCATTACATACCTAAGAACAGAAACAATTCAGACTTTAAATACATCAATTAAAATCAAAATGGTCTAGAAGTGTAATTTGCCCAAAAAAATTAAAAAGGAATAGAAAGCACACTAATATGGCTTATAATATTAAAAATACCACTTGTCTTCCAACTATATCCAAAGATGAGCCTAAACTATATGCAACAGATGATACATTTGGATCCATACAGTACGCTATAATTCAATTAAACAAGATAAAAAGAATTAGAGGGGGGAAAAAAGTAAAAGAACAAGAACAAATAAAAAAAGCTTCATCATATTCCCTCTAATGGCTTTTTCCCTCTCCTCTCACATAAATTCTACATGTAGCAACTTCATATCCATCATGATGATCATTCGAAGTTAAATAGCTTCTCACAATCAAACAAAGTTGGATTTCAAATTATTCTGTCTTATCTTCTTCCAAATCACCGTTCGATACCCCGTTGTTTCCACCGTGTACTGATCTGACTTCAAGTGGACTTCAAATATCCTTTGAAGGCATAGGAGATGGTTTTATGAGTGTCAAAGTATTATCATCCCTGTTAAACTCTTCACTTGCTTCTCCCGAGTAAGTATAGATGCCACATGTGAAAATATTCAATGTGGAGACAAGAAAATAATTGACAATTAATTATTAAATAGAACTTATCTTCACATTTTTGTTTTTTGTTTTTGTTTTTTTTTTTTCTTCCTATAGAGTATGTTTAACCTGATTAAAATACTATCTGATATATAGACTAATAAACAAAAATGTTTGACTCCTATTGTTAGCTAGATATGCAACACATTGAGCCCAAATACTAATTAATATTTGAATCTTTGCTAGCATAGCATGGTATTGTCAAAGGACCACACAATGAACATGATCAAAAGGTTTTTCCGTAAAACAATAATAATATAACTAAATATACCTGAAGCTTATTCAGACTTGCAGAGAGGGAGGTAAATATTCAAAGAATGAAGAAAGCATCCAAGAGTGCCACAGGAAGAACCAAAAATAGTCTTGCTTTTCCTGAAAGATCACTGATAGCACCAACATTCTCTACCAGTTCAAGCACTTTAATTAATGGTTTTTTAAATGGAGATCAGTAAGATAAAAGTACTGCACTCAATCCCAGTGTAGTCCTCGAAGCAGAGCTAGAAACAGTTACAACTTCCATGCCAAGTTATCTAAACAGAGAGTTATCAGATGAATGAGAAATTTCTAGCCACACAAGTCCTGCAAGAGGAGAAGGTATGCATAGTTTTGGTCATATTCAAACCCCAGAAGCTTCATTTCTTTCACCTAACAATAAAATCTTGAAAATTATTGAAGTGCTATTCAACGAAGATAATTTCACCATACATAGATTATAACACGCTAAACACATCAAGTATTTTCCTAACAAGAGATGAAAAAGAATTCAACCAGGCCACTCATTTCCTCTAATCTCAGACATAAGCAGTACATATCAGAAAATTGAATGAGAAGCATATTACTCGAGAGCAATGAAGCAGTAATTGTATTGAAAATTTAGACATACCTGATGTGAGGATGGAGAGGTGCAAATAGATGGAGAATTTGGTGTAGATTTAGCAGGGGAAGCAGAGTGAGTTAGTCGTATAAATGGAGACTGAACAAAGGGTGAAATTGGGGACCGTAGTATCGGAGTGTGATGATAAGAAGAAACTGGTGTCTGATGACCTAAAGATAGTGGAGTTGCCATTGGCGTTCACCATGCTCTATGAGAAGGTGCTCCTGGAGATCTTGATTGTGACTTCTTTGTAGGAAGCATGTTTATTTTAATTCTGACACAAAACACAGTAAATTGGTGTATATCATTAGTCAATAAGTTAGTAACTAACAGAACTGAAATATATTACACTTGAAACTTTTTCTTTGGTTGTGTTTTCTTGTTTTGTTTTTTGCAGAACACACAAAACTTGTTTTTCCGAAAACAGGTCCTTTTTGGAAACTGTTTTCACAAATATAAAAATGATGAAAATGATAGGTATTTTTTAAACATCTCATTTTTTTTTTCCCGGTTTCCATAGACACAAAAACATAACCAAATGATCAATTAACAGACGCGGAATTGTAACTCACTTATTGTGAACATCAACATATTCATCAGTTTCATCCAGTATTTCTTCCTTCAAAACAAAATACAAATATTAGTTCATCAACAGAAAAAACACATTAAGTTTATGTACCCAGAAAAAGAACTCAGAAAAAACAGTGCCATGTCTAGATATGGTGAGGTTTAAATTAAAAAAGAATTTAAACCACAAACCATTACTTTTTCTTTTTCTTTTTCTTTTTTGTGAATAAAATTTTAGGTATTTTATCAAGATACCTAGAAGGCTTGCGGAAAGAAAAGCATATATGAAAGGACTGATCTAATATTTACATATACGAAATTTCCTATCACCTATATGGAAGAAAAGCGTTCATATTGAAGCTAGTTTTGTGTACTTGGACAGAATTAACTTCTATAAGTTATATCTGAAGCAGCAATATTAATTAACTATAATGGAACACAAAATAACATTTGCATGAAGTACATCATAGTATTTATTAATACTAGTTAATTAGTTATATATATTACTAACTTGTAAGAGTTCCTCTAAAACATCTTCCATAGTAATGATACCAATGACTTCTTCCTCTTGATCTGGAAGTGATTCCAAAACTTCCTTTGTTTTATTTGCATCTCCTTGTTCACCTCCTTTCTTTGGTTGGAGGTTCCAGCTGTCACTGCATCGCTCCGTTATGTACTGTAATGCTGGACTCTGACTCTCAGTAGTGTCGCTAGAAGTCACAGATGGTGGTGTATGTGTAGAAATACTCTTTTGTTGCTTGATCTCAATTCCTATATGTTATAAAAGGAAATAGCAATGACCAACATATAACGACAAGTTTCCTTGTGTTCCATTGGAATTTATTTTAATAAATAGACTGAATATATCCAAAATATGGGAAATTTTTACGCAATGCAATGTCAGTCACATGATCAGGTGAATGGAATTTTGGATTGTAATGTAAAGCACCTAAAATATTGAAAGAAATTACCTTTTCCCTCTGCTTGTTTTTGTAATATTGATGAGTTTGAATTGATGTTTATCATGATCATGTCATTTTTGTCTGTTGCATTTCCTGCAGTGTCCTTAACATTGTGCTTGCTCTTCACAACAGTAGCCATGTGGCTGTGCCCTTTTTGGAATTGGTTCAGTATATCATATAGTGGTAAACTGTCCTCCACCCTTTCACAGATAAAATCACGCACAAAAAAATAAGAAAAAATAAAAATATTTATGGCATTGCTTGCAAATTCAAGACCAAAATACATTTATAAAATTTTGTACCTAGGAATTCTCCTGATGGTAAGAATTCTGATTGGTGTTTCGTCTTCAGCACAGCATTTGATTAAATTTTTTACCTAACAATCATAGAAAATGTCATAATAGTTAATTTCCGTTGTTTTTTCTCTTAAAACACAAAAAAACAAAAATGAATAAAAAATATGAACACAAACAAATAGGTTGTTACAGGTTCCACCATATGCTTACCAAAATAAGGCCTATAATATTTGATGGGCTTCCTGAATAGACAGGTATGCGATTGTGCCCTTTGCTCATTATCAAGCTCGTTGTATCCCTGGGGGAGCAAACCAAACATATATGTTATCTCATAAATAAACTTATAAGTAGAAAATGGTGTAAATATATGCAGAGATCGAAGGAAGTTTTTTGCAGCATACTCGTCTAGTTTAGAATTCAAATCAAGGGAAAATATTTTAGATAAAGGTGTCATAGCATCTTTAGTAGTCTTCTGTGTTAAATCCAAAGCTCCAGAGATAATAGTAGTTTCATCATGTGTTAACTTTCCACCTTTCCCTGCCTGATAATATAAACATGAGGATATCAACAATCACTTTAGCTTTAACTTACTTTAGTACTAGCATTAGCACTGTTAGCACTGCATTCATTCTTAAACGAGGCTCGCACTCTACAATAGGGTGCAACTTGGGCAGGACCAATTGGAGCAACCCGAGCCCAACCAAAAAAATTTTAGGCCATAGGCAATATATATTTGAATTATGAGTAGACCTGGGCAAAATGTTTAGAAGCCCAAATAAATTTGGGCCGGGTGTGGACAAAGACACTAGGCAACCCCGCAAACCTAATTGCATATGTAAATATATAAAAAATATTAAATATACATATAAATTATTTGCCGTTGAATGATGTTACACTAATATAGATGATCATATTGACTATATACATCATACACACAAGTTACAACACAAAATCTATCATTTCTGTTTCGCTCAGAAATGACAAAGACTAGTGCTGCAGTGCAATGATATCTCGATTCTCATCTCTCACTCATTATATAAATTATTTGTTTTGACGTTAGTAATGATTTTATCTATAAAAAAAAATATTAATAGGGTCTAACTTTAACAAATTAATTAGTCTAACTGTAAAAAAAAATTTTAAAAAAAATCTCTAATTTGTGGGTAATTGGGGCCTAACCAGAGTTCAATTTATTATGATGTGCCCTTTTTTGCTTCCTGTTCTATACCTTTGTCTGCAAAAATTCAAACATCATAGCTCTCGGTGGCACTCAGATGTAGTTTCAAAATTGAAAAAGTAACTACATCCAAATGAGGCCCAAGTAGTTCAATCTATGCATTTATTATCACCAGTCCAAGATAGCACTTGGTGCAATTCCATCTATACATATCATTCAAGGCCACCAACCACAAGACTTCTAAATTCTACTATGGATACATCTGAGGATTCAACTATATCCATGAAAACTCAACTGAACCTCTTCTTTCTATAAATGATATAGGAATTGAATCACCAATAGTAAGGAATAATTGTTTTCCATACAATTTACCTTGAAGAAATTTCCCAAAACTGACTTTGCCAAAAACCATGTCATAGATACTATCATATAGTGTTACCAACTCGTTGAAATTTTGGCAGCCAAACAAATTTGAGTGCAATTTTTACAACTTACAGTTGAGAGATCAAGTCTCAAAACTTCATTCTCAAATTTACCATCAGAAAACCATAGGTTTCTAGCAACAAGTAGCTTAAAATGGATAGTTCTTAAATTCAAAACATGTTGGGCAGCATCCAGTAATGCCGATGCAATGAATATACATGAAAGTCCTAATAATATACTTAAATTCACATAATCTTACCACAGATTGTAATAATATAAAGTATCATATTAACAACAAAGCCAAGAATATTAAATGTGTAGAAGCATAATCTGTAACAATAAGATCACTACAACTCTTCTATAATTCTGTTGATTATTAAAAAAGCTTTAAAAAATATTAAATAAGAAGGGTAGAGTTTTAAAACATAGCAAAATCAAATGAAATGGCTTTTGAAACAAAGCAAAATCACAGCAAAATCTCATTTGACTCCTCCCAGGCCTACCACCACAGCAATATCACAACAAAATCAAATGAAATGGAGTGATATCACAGCAAAATCAAATGAATCTCAAATGAATCAAGTGAATGCTAGAACTGACATTACAACATATACAACTACTTACCAGATAACAGTAGTATAAATTCATAGTATTAAGTACTAAATAATTATTTAAAAGTAGACCAATTCACTCACATAATTTGGGAAGATAACCATATCAACATTCCCAGACACCTTTGCTAACTGCACATAGAATAATATTAAGAACAAACACAATAACTTCTAACTGCACATAGAATGAAGAATATACCATCATAAAAAGTTGTCAAAATTTCATAAGTACCAAAGCGAGTGCCAGCACCTAATGCAATTTTTTATTTATTTTTTTAACTGTCCATTGATATGCGATTGTCGCTTAATTCAACACCTAGACGAAGCAATTAACATAAATATTGTACATGTACCATAACAAACAAGTAATAGCATTATAAAGGGAAGAATCTACAATCTACAATATTTCCAACAGAATTTGGAAAGCATAACCCAAATCCTCAATCCAAAACCCACTCCTAGGCCAGCAAGTTTCAACCTTCCAACAAAAATAACAATTTAAGACAGAGGAAACCAGAAACCCAAAAAGTCAATAACATACATACAACTTATAAGGTCAGCTCCTCCTCCTCACTGGCATCATTTTTTTTTTTTCTTCGTCCTCTCTCTTTTTATCATGAACTTCCAAATTTCTCAACTACTCTATACAACCAATCAAAACAATTCCTATTTACAATCAATGATTATAAAACACTCTAGTATAATTATAAAACCTAATCTCATGTGAATACCCCTCTAACTCTCAGGACTCAAAGTAGAAGCTTCTTGTCTTTGTTCTCTCAAATACCTTAGCAGTGTTTCAGCCTGCAAAACCAAACAATTAGGCATTAAAATTCATGCTGCCCGTCAAACATCATCACAAGGAAATTATAGGTAATTTTTATACATATAGTTAGCCAATGGATACGAACATAGATGTCCACAGTCTTTATTGTTCATCTCCGGACGACCTCCATGACGTCTGCTTGGCCGTCTTATTAGACAATAGAATATGAAAAAATCTGATAAAAATTCTAATTCAACGTTGAAATAAATGATATCAAATTACCCCTAGTATTAAATTTTTACTCAAAATTAATAAATTTTTTGATTGACGTTGGAGATTCTATTACCTCCCAAAAAAATTAATAAAATAATAAATAAAAAAAAGTAGTGTGAAATTTCACTAAACTGACCTTGTGCTTGGCTTTTGCAGTACCAGTTTGACCAAGCGTTGCCAATGGAGGAATCCTACCTTCCCTGACAAGCAAACCCCTATTCCTTACACTCTCACCACACAATTGCAACAGCGTCATCATCGCGAACTCCTTCCCTTCCGGCGACCCATCCTCGATCACCTCCACCAACGTCGCAATCCCCCCTTCCTCCACAATCGCCTCATTCCCTTCTGCCACCGCCGCCAAGCTACTCATCACCACCATCAATCGCCTTCTCCGCCATCTACTTCGCTGCCACCACCTCCTTCACCGCCCTCTCCTTGTTTACCTTCACCGTACAAAGCTTGTACAACGTCGTCATCGTGTCCTTCTTCCCCCTATTCGATCCATTCATCAACAGCGTTATCAATGGCGGAATTACTCCGCAAGCTTCGATCGAAATCTTGTTCTCGTTGATCACCTCCACCAACGTCGCAATCCCCCCTTCCTCCACAATCGCCTCATTCCCTTCTGCCACCGCCGCCAAGCTACTCATCACCACCATCAATCGCCTTCTCCGCCATCTACTTCGCTGCCACCACCTCCTTCACCGCCCTCTCCTTGTTTACCTTCACCGTACAAAGCTTGTACAACGTCGTCATCGTGTCCTTCTTCCCCCTATTTGATCCATTCATCAACAGCGTTATCAATGGCGGAATTACTCCGCAAGCTTCAATCGAAATCTTGTTCTCGTTGATCAACGACAAGTTTAGCAACACACATGCCGCTCTGAATCTTTGAAATCGCTTCAAAATCGCTCTGAACAGCCGATGGAGCTTGTGTTCTTTGAAGCTCTCTTCAAGAACAGCCAATTGATCTTTCGAGAGACGAAGCTTCTTCCGAGAGTGCTCTCCTTCGTCTTCTTCGTTGCTGAGAGAGAGAGAGATGTATGCGTACAAGATAAGAGAGATGTGTAGGTATAAGAGAGAGAGAAAGGGCTCAGATTCAAGAATAAGGGTTTCAAAAAATGGCGAGTGTATGCACCGCATTCGGAGGCGTTTCTAAACGCCTTTAATTACAAAACGGTGCCGTTTTAGTTAAAAAAATATACGGCGATTATAAAACACCGCTAAAAATTAAAAAACGTGACGTTTAATAAAACACTGTTAATTAAACGCCATTAAATCTCTAATTTCCTGCAGTGATGTGCAAAAATCGTCATAAAAAATTATGGGTTAATTACCAATAGGTCCCAAAAGTTAGATTTAATTTCTATGAAATCCTATTAAAAATAAGCCTTAGTAAAATCGTTGCTAAAAATAATTTTTTGTGATAATTTTTTTACACATGTCGTTAAAAATTGACAATTAATGATTTTTTTGTCAAGATTTTTATAAACTGTTGCTAAAACTTACAATTAGTGACATTTTTCTATGAAGAATTTTTTAAATTGCCACTGAAAGTTAAAAATTAGTTAATTTTTTGTGACAATGTTTTTAAACCGTCACTAAAACTTATAATTAGTGATATTTTTGTGACA